TTTTGTGGTCCGTTGGGAGGAAAAACAAGCTTGTGCCTATCGTACACACCAAAGAAGAGCAGACGATAGAACAGCACAATACCAAGAGCAGCGCCCAGGATACAGAACCCGTAGTGCATTCCGATGTCACGCTTGAAAATAATGCCAATAACGTAGATAGTGATGGAGCCACTGAAGCCGTAGGCAAACGGCGCTACCAGGTATACCACGATTAGGGAAAGGTTGTCAGGGAAGGCCAAGTAGAAGATGAGTGCAAGAGTCAGTAATATGCTGGGTATCGGAAAACCAATTGTGGCAGGCAGCGAGACACCCATACGTTGACCAACATAAAGAAGAAGCACCTCGTAGAGACCAATAATCACACGACCAAACGCCGTCGATACACCCGACATGGTGGCGAATAGAACGTACGTCTTGTACTCTAGCTGTGTGTAGCGGGAACCAACCATAACTCGAATGTTCCAATTCCCCGTCATCGTCATCCCCACACCCCAGACCACGAAAGTGGTGTAGAAGAGCAGCCACAGATCAATGTATGTCAAACTTTGCAGGAACGACGTCTCATAAATGGGTGTGACAAAGACCTCACCGCACACTGTAATGGTCTCCACGTATGGATGATCATACGTTGAGACACCACGTGTGACGACCTCCATTTCGGCTGTATCAACGGTCGATGCAAGCTCAGAATGCCGCTTCCGCACAGCGAGGGATGTGTTCCGCAGCCAATGCGCCGTGTCCCCGTGCTCCTCCTCGCCGTCCTCCTCCAAGGGAATTAGATCTATAGCCTCGATAAGACTTGCATCGGGGTCGACAGGCTGGTACGGGTGATGCTGGCTTCTCTCCTCGATCTTTTCATCCTCTGTATCTCTCATCATCTCTATAGAATCCGTGGATTGCACAGGTACAGTCCCCAACGCCGACTGCACATCTGCATAATTAGCGGGGATAGCTTCCACGCTGGTTGTCTCCTCATAGTGGCCATCCATACCACTCCTGGGATCGGTTGGACTAGAAGCTCTTCTCCCGTGTGATTTGGCATGACGTTTCCTTCGTTCCTCCGCCAAATGATTTTCCACCTCTCGAGCCTTTTCAATAACAGCTTGATCCTGCGCCGTGGGTCCGTCAAGCTGGTGCAGCGGCACCAAAAGGATAAAGATGAAGAGAACGATGACGATGGCACCAATGGCCAAACCCCTATAGCGGCCCTTGGTCATGGAGTCCTTGTAGTATGCCGCGCAGATGGATTGTGTCGTCAGGTAAACATTCAGAATCACCAATATAACAGACATAATGTGAAAGCGTCTCTTTGGAAGTAACTGCGACATGTAGCGATTCCGGACAAGGAGCAGGCTTAGTTTTTCTTTCAGTGTTATATGACGTTCCTTCCACCGCGTCACTTCATACGGGGCGTTGTCTAGAAACACTGTCCCGATTACACCAAACACAAGCACAATCGTCATAAGGAAGTACATCAAGTTGTCGTACCGGTCGTTGAAGAAGCCACGAAAGATGCACGAAATGATGGAGGGACCAAGACCAGAGAATGTTTTCAGCATACCAATGGGGTGCGCTCGATCGCGAGGTGCGTATGTCAGGACGGTGGGCAGAGCTGCAACATCAAAGGCGTAGCAGCCCCAGTTCATCATGGCGAAGTACACAGAGTAGCGTGTCTTCGATGGATCAATATGTCCACTGAAGGTTAGCGCAAACAGCAAATGGCTCAGTGATGTTATAACCGTTGCTATTGCGAAGACAATTCTCGGACCGAAGAAATCATACATAGCACCGAAGGGAAAGACAAACAAACCGAATGCTGTTCCCGCAGCGAAGATGTCAACCATCGTACGAATGTCATACCTGTGGATCGTCTCAATATATACTCCGAAGAGCGCGTGGAGTCCTTGCGTGGAAGTGTTAATAAGAAGAAGCATTCCAACGAAAATAAAACGGAACCGCTGAAAGTCGCTGATCTTCTTCGGATCAATAACCACAACGGGGTTGTTGTGATTGCTTTCCCTTTCGCCGTGCAGTGATCTCGTCTCTTGTTCTCCGATGTGTGAGTGCCGAGGTGAGAGCGGACTCACCATCATTGAGTTGGCATCACGCCGGGCGAAAGAAACACGCAATCGCACTGCACTGGCGGTGTCACCCATTACGTTCCCTATATATAATTGCCTGTTTTTTGGATTGGTTGGTTTTGTAGGTTACGATGCACTGCCTAACCAACCCCTTTCTTAAACTCTCTCTCTTGCCTCCTCTCGCTGTGTGTAGTCTGTGAAGTTTATCTCCCTTATTTAGTCCTTCAAAATAAAGCGAAGAAAGTGCGATTTCTTTTTGATTGAGTTCAGTTTATCAGGGCTCTTCTTCCACGCCTCTCGTGCCCACACTCTTGGCTTCACAGGCACCATGGAGAGGTGAGACCAGTTGGCAACAGATGCACATACACATACACACACACACACACACACACACACATA